ATGGTTGCTAGGGTGTTGCTATGCGGTTGTTAGGTTACCCGGGGCGGTTCCTAAGGTGTTGCTATGCTTTTGCTAAGGTACCTGGTGTGGTTGCTAGGGTGTTGCTATGCGGTTGCCAAGGTACTGGGGTGGTTGCTAGGGTTTTGTTATGTGGTTGCAAGGGTACCCGGGGTGGTTCCAACGGTGCTGCTATGAGGTTGCTAGGGTACCCGGGGTGGCTGCTAGGGTGTTGCTATGTGGTTGCTAAGGTACCCGGGGCGGTAGCTAAGGAGTTGCTATGCGGTTGCTAGCGTACTCGGGGTGGTAGCTATTGTGTTGCTATGCATTTGCTAGGGTACCCAGGGTGGTTGCTAAGGTGTTGCTATGCGGTTGCTAAGGTATTAAGGGTGGTTGCTAGGGTGTTACTATGCAGTTGCTTGGGTAACCGGGTTGGTTGCTAAGGTGTTGCTATGCAGTTGCTAGAGTGTTGCTATGCAGTTGCTAGGGAACCCAGGGTGGTTGCTAAGATGTTCCTATGTGGTTGCTAGGGTGTTGCTATGCAGTTGCTAGGGAACACGGGGTGGTTGCTAAGATTTTGCTATGCGGTTGCTAGGTTACCCGGGACGGTTGCTACGGGGTTGCTTTGCGGTTTTTAGGGTGATGCTATGCGGTTTCTAGGGTACCCGGGGCGGTTGCTAAAGTGTTGCTATGCGGTTGCTAAGGTACTGGGGGCGGTTACTAGGGTGCTGCTATGCGGTTGCTAGGGTACCCCGGGGTGTGTTCTATGGTGTTGCTATGCGGTTTCTAAGGTACTGGGGTGGTTGCAAAGGTGTTGCTATGCGGTTGCCAGGTTACCCGGGAAGGTTTCTATGTGGTTGCTAGGGTGTTGCTTTGCGGTTGCTAAGGTGTTGCTATGCGGTTGCTATGGTACCAGGGGCGGTTGCTAAGGTGTAGTTATGCAGTTGCTAAGGTACTGGGGTGGTTGCTAGGGTTTTGCTATGCGGTTGCAAGGGGGTGGTTGCTAGGGTGTTGCTATGCAGTTGCTAGGGTACCCGGGGCAGTTGCAAAGGTGTTGCTATTCAGTTGCTAGGGTACCCGGGGTGGTTGCTATGGTGTTGCTATGCGTTTGCTAGGGTACCTGGGGCGATTGCTAAGGTGTTGCTATGCAGTTGCTAGGTTACCCGTGGTGGTTGCTAGGGTTTTGCTATGCGGTTGCAAGGGTACCCGGGGTGGTTGCTATGGTGTTGCTATGCGGTTGCTAGGGTACCTGGGGCGGTTGCTAAGGTGTTGCTATGCGGTTGCTAGGTTACCTGGGGCGGTTGCTAGGGTTTTGCTATGCGGTTGCAAGGGTACCCGGGGTGGTTGCTATGGTGTTGCTATGCGGTTACAAGGGTCCTTGGGTGGTTGCTAGGGTGTTGCTATGCGGTTACAAGGGTCCTTGGGTGGTTGCTAGGGTGTTGCTATGCGGTTACAAGGGTCCTTGGGTGGTTGCTAGGGTGTTGCTATGCGGTTACAAGGGTCCTTGGGTGGTTGCTAGGGTGTTGCTATGCGGTTACAAGGGTCCTTGGGTGGTTGCTAGGGTGTTGCTATGCGGTTACAAGGGTCCTTGGGTGGTTGCTAGGGTGTTGCTATGCGGTTACAAGGGTCCTTGGGTGGTTGCTAGGGTGTTGCTATGCGGTTACAAGGGTCCTTGGGTGGTTGCTAGGGTGTTGCTATGCGGTTACAAGGGTCCTTGGGTGGTTGCTAGGGTGTTGCTATGCGGTTGCTAGGGTACCTGGGGCGGTTGCTAAGGTGTTGCTATTCAGTTGCTAGGGTACCCGGGGTGGTTGCTAAGGTGTTGCAATGCGGTTGCTAAGGTACTCGTGTTGGTTGCTATACAGTTGCTAGGGTATCCGAGGTAGTTGCTACTGTGTTGCAACGCGGTTGCTAGGGTACCCGGGATGGTTGCTAGGTTGTTGCAATGCGGTTGCTAAGGTACTCGGGGTGGTTGCAAAGGTGTTGCTATGCGGTTGCTAGGTTACATGAGGTAACTACTGGGCTACTGTGTTGCAACGCGGTTGCTAGGTTACCCGGGATGGTTGCTAGGGTGTTGCTATGCGGTTGCTAAGGTACTCGGGGTGGTTGCTAGGGTGTACCCGGGTGGTTGATAAGGTGTTGCTATGCTGTTGCTAGGGTACCCGGGCAGTTTCTAAGGTGTTGGTATCCAGTTGCTAAGGTACTCGGGGCTGTTGCTAGGGTGTTGCTATGCGGTTGCTAGGGTACCCGGGTTGGTTTCTAAGGTTTTGCTACGCGGTTGCTAAGGTACTCGGGGTGGTTGCAAAGGTGTTGCTATGCGGTTGCTAGGTTACCCGGGAAGGTTGCTAAGGGGTTGCTTTGCGGTTTTTGGGCGATGCTATGCGGTTTCTAGGGTTCCCGGGGCGGTTGCTAAAGTGTTGCTATGCGGTTGCTAAGGCACTCGGGGCGGTTGCTAAAGTGTTGCTATGCGGTTGCTAAGGTACTCGGGATGGCTGCTACTGTGTTGCTATGCGTTTGCTATGGTTGCTAGGGTGTTGCTATGCGGTTGCTAGGTTATCCGGGGCGGTTCCTAAGGTGTTGCTATGCTTTTGCTAAGGTACCTGGTGTGATTGCTAGGGTGTTGCTATGCGGTTGCTAAGGTACTCGGGCTGGTTGCTAGGTTGTTTCTATGCGGTTGCTAGGGTACCCGGGTTGGTTGCTAAGGTGTTGCTAGGGTACTTGGGGTGGTTGCTAAGGTGTTGCTACGCGGTTGCTAAGGTACTCGGGGTGGTTGCAAAGGTGTTGCTATGCGGTTGCTAGGTTACCCGGCAAGGTTGCTAAGGGGATGCTAGGGTGTTGCTACGCATTTGCTAGGGTACCCAGGGTGGTTGCTTAGGTGTTGCAATGCGGTTTCTAGGGTACCCGGGGCGGTTGCTAAGGTGTTGCTATGCGGTTGCTAAGGTACTGGGGTGGTTGCTAGGGTTTTGTTATGCGGTTGCAAGGGTACCCGGGATGGTTGCAACGGTTTTGCTATGAGGTTGCTAAGGTACCCGGGGCGGTAGCTAAGGAGTTGCTATGCGGTTGCTAGGGTACTCGGGTGGTAGCTACTGTGTTGCTATGCATTTGCTAGGGTACCCAGGGTGGTTGCTAAGGTGTTGCTATGCGGTTGCTGGGGTGGTTGCAACAGTGTTGCTATGCGGTTGCTATGGTTGCTAAGGTGTTGCTATGCGGTTGCTAGGTTACCCGTGGCGGTTCCTAAGGTGTTGCTATGCTTTTGCTAAGGTACCTGGTGTGGTTGCTAGGGTGTTGCTAAGGTACTCGCGTTGGTTGCTAGGTTGTTTCTATGCGGTTGCTAGGGTACCCGGGTTGGTTGCTAAGGTGTTGATATGCAGTTGCTAGGGTACTTGGGGTGGTTGTTAAGGTGTTGCTATTTGGTTGCTAGGGTACCCAGGGTGGTTGCTAGGGTGTTTCTATGTGGTTGCTAGGGTACTCGGGGCGGTTGCTAGGGTGTTGCTAGGTGGTAGTTATGGTACCGGGGTTGTTACTAAGGTGTTGCTAGGTGGCTGCTATCGTACTCGGGGTGGTTGCTAGGGTGTTGCTATACGGTTGCTAGAGTACTCAAGGTGGTTGCTAGGGTGTTACTAGCATGTTGTTAGCATGATTAGCAAGTTATCATCATTTCTCTAGCATGAGTAGCATCTTTCTAGCATGATTAGCATGTTACTGGCGTGATTCTAGCATGGTTAGCAAGTTACTAGCATGATTCAAGCATTATTAGCATGTCACTAGCGTGTTGCTAGCATGTTTTTAGCATTGTCAACATGTTTATATCATGTCTAGCATGTTACTAGCATGTTGCTAGCATGTTTTCAGCAAGATTAGCATGTTACTTGGATGGTTAACAAGTTACTAGCATAATTCTAGCATTATTAACATGTTACTATCATCATTAATCATTAGCATCAGTAAAAAAACAGTTAAACAAAGCAAGTTAAAAACCAGTTAAAACCAGCTAAAACCAGTTGATTCATTAAAAAACAGCTAAAACCAGACTAGGCTAGTTGTCTAGTCTTAGCTGGTTTAAGCTGAAAGTAGCTGGTTTAAACTTGGTTGGTCTTTTAGCAGGTCTCCCAGCTTGACCATCTAAGATCATTAGGGGTACAAGCACAATGGTGTGTGTAGATGATGCAGTTACACAATGGACGTGTCTCTTTTCAAGTAAATTATGAGTACTATTATATGCACAATAAGAAAACAGATAACTAATATAGTGTCCCTTCCTCACTTTTTCAGTAATGTCTGACAACTTGAGAAATATATTGTCAATACCATTAAAATTAAGATAAAAAAGTAATGGTCTATCAGTATTTAGGAGATATATACAGTTTTTGTATACTTAATATTGGGCTTTATTAAAGGTTATGAAAATATAATGAATTTATATGCAGTTTTATTCGGTTACTTAAATGAAACATTTTCTAAGTCTTTGAACAGATCTTAAAGAATTTGCTATCCTGTGGCTCCCTCGTGTGGACATTAGCATTATGGCCTTCATCTCTGAACAAAATTAAGATGAAATTGCCAATATTTCTTGAATGATTACAAATGTTTAATGTTTAGTTTACTGATAATATACTCACATTAAACTCGAATTTACTGATTCTGTATATTATTTCATGCTTTAAGTGTTTAATTTTCGACTTACATTTTTAAGCAGTGATGATTGATTATTATGTGACTTGTTAAATGTTGTTTTTTTTTTTACAATTATAATATATAAACAATGATGAAAAAAGTACAAGAGTTATTTTTTTCATAATATTTTGTATAGACAATTGTTATTTTGCATTGTAATGAAGGATTTTATGACAACAAAAATTGTCATTACTAAAAATTAAACACTAATTTCATTCATATTGTTTTTCAATAGGTCAAGCACCTTTTCATAAATATGGCTGTTTCCAAGGTTTTTTTTTTATTTTTAGGATTTACATTTCAAAAAGTAAAAGACAAGTAGGCTACTTCAAGCTTTTTAAGCAGCTTGTACAAACCCTGGTAATTTTTGTTATAGACCGCTGTAATTGTCGATTCTAACATACAAGGTTATTATGAAAAAAAAATGTAGATATCAGTTAAATTGCGCGATAAACAATTTGCAAACAACAGTATAACAGAGCAGGTTTTAGGTTTGTAGATGTTTAGATGCAGAAATGGAAGAATCCTAAAATATCATTGCATAGTTTTCATTAAATATTGATTCTTGTTAGAGCAATAAATAAATAAATAAATACACAAATAAAAGAAGCCAAGACAAACGAATGATATTCTGGTTTTTATGGATTAACATTGAAGACAGAAAGCAGCTGGTAAATGCGGTCGCTATAATATTCACATCCATCCACCTCCGATTTTTTTCTCAACAGTTTATGTTCACGTGAGACATAAACGAATGTTTTCGATTATATTCACTAAGCTATCATGCATTTTGAAATAATTTTGTC